TATATTTGCTGAGGAAAATAAAAAAGTATACGTTTATATATATATATATATATATATATATATATATATATATATATATATATATATATATATATATAATTGTTCTACACGTAAATTGATGACACAGTTACTCTCCGAAGTTTCACTTAAATTGAGAATATGTTGTATTCTATTTAGTTTTTTAGTTTAATATTATTACTGGCAGGCTTGATTATCAATTAATCACCAAGTCCCCACAAATGAGGTCTGCAGCTGAAGCAAATTTTGTCATATCAAAGTTCACTGCCTCATTTCAGACTAACAATGCAAGGAAACCAAATCATGCTCAAACGTCACATGAATAAACATAAATATATGGGCTTAAAGGAGTATATACTATTAAAGAAGAAGTTACTAACCTTTGATAACATTTCAGTGGCCAAAGTTGAGGTAAAACTTCAAAGATCTATAATGCCCTTGTAGTATTCAGACAACAGAACTTTGAGAGGGAGGAAGACGCTGTCTACGTCACTGAATACTGGGTACTACACTGCAACTTAAATTTAGAGAGTTAGCCATTTCACAAGTCTGAATACAACCAACCACAATGTACAGTATAGCGTCACTAGCAGTGTATTCTTCAAAGAATGATGCTGTCCAGTACAGCTACATCAGAACTCAACTGCAGGAATGGTGATGAAGTGCAGTGCAAAACAAGCTCACATCATGCTGTTTTTTAGGCTTTTAGAATTCAATTTAAGGTGCCGTCACAGAATTTTTTTGCCCCTTCAGACCCATCAGGACTTCTGGAAAGGGTCTACTTCTTGTACTTGGTGTGAGAGTTGGAGCCCATGGTGAGGAGAACCGTTCTTGTTGTGGCCCTCAGCCTCCCTTAAGATCTGAGTGCAGGTCATAGTAGAGACTTAGCCTAACCGGTCTCCAATATGTGCTGCCCATATTTTTTGCTGTGATTCTTAAGAGCTGAAATAGCTCTTTCTTCCTCAGTTTACTTAATAAAAAGTTACATAATGATATATTTTACACTACTCTCCGTTTAAATAAAACCCTTTTTTTTTTTTTTTTTTTTTTTTTACAAATTTTAACAATGGCTTTGCTAATGGAGGGGGCAATGCATTGCTGCTGAATGCTCTAATGCAGGGGTCACCAACGTGGTGCCCGTGGGCACCAAGGGGCCCTCAAGGACAACATGGTGTCATGGTCTTGGTTCTATTGTTCTTTACTTTGCTCCTTGTTTTCTAGTTTTATTGGTTTAATTCCAGTTTTGTTGTAATTTCTAGATTTATGTTAGTTCTCATGTTTTTCTGTTCTCTATTGCCCTCTTGTGTGTGTGTGTGTGTGTGTGTGTGTGTATGTGTGTTCCTTTCCCCTTGGCTCCCTCGTT